GCCGACGCACCGGTGTCTCCGGAATTTTAATCGGGTGAGTTATCGCCCTAATCCCTCGCTTAGTAGGTTAAACTTGATTAGAGCGGATTAGTTTAAGTTAATTGTGCTTAGTACTAATTGATTAGGGATTAGTGATAATCTATTGGATTAATTATATTATTAATTTATTAAATTTCGGAAATAAAATAATAATATTTTATTAATTTTCGGAATTAAAAATATTATTATTTTATTAATATTTTTATGGAAATTTCGAAATTAAATTGTGTTTATTTTAGGCTCAAATTGTGATGCCTAAGCTAGAATTTGCCTTATATATTGGTTTGTATGCCAAATTGAATTGTTTGGTTAATTTTAAGTATAGCATGTCGGGTACTTAATTAATAAACCCTGAGGTGTCGGGTTTATTTGTTAAGTTTTATGTGAGAAATATGTTGTGGATACTTGAATATAGAAGCATGCCAAGTTTGGGAATTTATTGATATGTGCATAATCACGTGTGAATATTTTAGTACATTTTTATGTGTGAAAGTTGGATATTTCAACGTATTAGCACGGATTATGTTTGCATCGGCTATTGAAAATTATAATGATGGAACCTGAGTGTTGCTATGTGTGCATGATCACCTAAAGGTTCCTTTCGTGCCCGGTTATATCGGAAAACCGTATACCGGATGACCGCCAACCTAGGGTTTGGCCGTGGCCCTAACGGGTGTCCCCAATTTGGTAATTGGAAGCCGTCGCTGGTAGCAGGGGAGACGTAGTCATTCGCGAATCGGATTCGGAATGAACCCATTTATGGGATATGCCGTCATTGTGGTTGGGTGAGACGATGCCATGCCCGACGGGGCGGGACGATGCCCGGTTATGCCGGAAGACTGCCAACCTGATGCGAATAACGCAGGTTATGCCGTAGCCCCTGGTGTGGCTGTAGTAATTGGAATACGCGTGAAAAATTGTGGTAGCATTGCGCTTGATTATGGAATGAAATTGTTAGACACGTTATGGGACGGGCCGAAGCGGTTTCACTTTATAATCAGGACACGTGTGAATGTATTGTACTTGAGAAAATTGATGCGTATTCTGATTGTATTATATGCTTATTGCATTATTATGGCATACGGTGAATCATAACGTACAGGGCGTGTGCATGTACCCAGGGCAAGGTAAGGTTGCCTGTGATTGTGTTGTGAAATACCTGTATGTTCTATATTGAGTTGTCTGCCATCGATGTATCGTTGCATGTGTTAGGTACATCCGAGATGAGTTGACCTCCTAGTCGGGGCTTAGGTCGTGAACTCGCTGAGATTTATCTCATTCGTTGTTGTTAACCACTTTTCAGGTCATCCGATATGAGTACACGTACCGTTCCTTGGGAACCGGCTTTTGAGGGAGAACACTTTTTGAGGTTATCCTCGTAGATAGAGGAGCTGGTTAACCCGCACTGCTTGGTGTAATCGGGAAGGTCCGCGTGGTGTTCTTGTAATATATTAACCCGATGTATTGCTGATGATGTTGTTTAAATTGAGATGTGTTTTCTTGACTATCCCTATTGTTGTGATTGGGAGTTTTTAATTCGCTTCCACATGCGTTTAATCGTTAGTAATTCGATTAGGTCGGCGATGCATCCTAGGACGTCGCATTTATAACGACCTTGGTGGGATGTTAGTGCGCTCGAGGGTCGGGGCGTGACACCCCGGAGGTTGAATATCTTGTGAAGTTGTCGCCGGAGATGGATCGGAGGCGATGGCGACTAGAAAGAGCAGAGCTAGTCGTGCATCGGGCATGAGCAAAGGTGTTACAGAGAGAGGGAGCTTGATCGTGGGTTTGCAGAGAGATGGAGAGCAGAGCGCGTGAGAGAGAGAGAGAGAGAGGAGAGAGACAAGTTTTTTCCCTGATATGTGGACCCCGATTGTCACGTGCCAATTTATGAATCACTGTCAAACTCACTCAATATTTTCTCGCAGTGTTTCAGCAGAAAAGCGACCTGGGTCCACACATCCCTGTCACATTAGTTTTTGTTTTTTTTTTATGAATCACTGTCACATTGGTTGACTTTCTTGTCTGTATCCTAGCTGATGAGAAACAATAGAAGGAGAGAGAGAGAAAAAGACAATAATTCAATGAGGCAGAAAGAATTAGATCCCTCTAAATTAAAAATCTCACCTTTAGCCAGATGAGTGCTTCGGAGTGCTTGTTAAGCATATTTCATAGGAAATGTTTTTTTAATATCCGATTATACATGACAGAAGAAAAATAATTTATGAAAAATCGCATACTTACTTTAAATAGTTTTTGACAGTTTCTTAACAAGTGTAAGACATTTTAACAAAATCATTCAGGAAATCAACAAGAGCATGCAAGAGATGGGGTTCACATACCTACTTACCGGGAAAAGCGTCAAAAAAGTCATAAATCTTTTGTATTTGTGCCAATTTAATCCTAAACCTTTTACATTTGTGCCAATTTAGTCCTAAACCTTTTTTTGAGGCCAATTCAGTCCTAAACTTTTTGCATTTATGTCAATTCAGTCCTAAACCTTTTGCATTAGTGCCAATTGAATCCTAAACCTTTTTTTGATGCCAATTGAGTCCTAAACCTTTTGCATTTGTGCCAATTCAGTCCTAAATATTTTGTATTGATGCCAATTCAGTCCCAAATCTTTTTGAGCTAAATTAATCGGAATGACTGAATTGGCACAAATACAAAAGGTTTAGGACTGAATTGGCACCAATGCAAAAGGTTTAGGACTCAATTGGCATCAAAAAAAGGTTTAGGACTGAATTGGCACCAATATAAAAGGTTTAGGACTGAATTGGCACCAAAAAAAGGTTTAGGACTCAATTGGCACCAATATAAAAGGTTTAGGACTGAATTGGCACCAAAAAAAGGTTTAGGACTCAATTGGCACAAATGCAAAAGGTTTAGGACTGAATTGATACAAAAAAAAGATTTAGGACTAAATTGACACCAATACAAAAGGTTTAGGACTTTTTTTGACACTTCTCCCCCTACTTACCTTAGGCTGCTTTTCCAGATTATTAAACAAGCGAAATGATATGTGAACACGTATATACCAGTTTTGGATGAAAACGTCTGACTACTTACTATTCTGTTCATGACTACAAACAGACCAAGTCCCTGAAGGGGAACAAATCGCTAATATATAGTGTTCAGGTACGGAGCATACCTCCTTATGACCATGAAAAATGTCAAGGGCAGTCAAATGGTCTGTATTTGCGGCCAAACCGTTCGCCCTTTTGTCTTGTGCGACTACGAATATGATGTATTGTCTGTTGAGAGAAGCTAAAGGCAAAGCCGTGTTGCCATCCTTGCCTTGTTCGTATATAAGACCCTCCAGGTTAGGCCTTTCTGAATATGTAATTGACCACATTTACTTTTCCACCTAGAACAGCTGTATGAAGAGTTGTTTGCCCATTGTTTTTTATTGCTTCCATAGCGTCAGGACGAAATCTAATCAGCTCGTCAACGATATTCACGTGGCCTTGAAATGCTGCAATATGAAGAGCAGATTCTGCATATTGGTCATCGAGGTATGCTGCGGAGTTATCACGTCGCCGGAACAGCTGAACTGCTTCAACTCCGCCCAAAGCACGCAGCACAATGAAGACGAATCCACCCAATCTCATCTCCTTCTCTTATCATTCCAGGCCCCCGCTCAACGATCATGTCCAAGCAACCTTCGCAAGTGCAATATTATGAGGGTCACGAGAACAATTAAGACAGTTTTCAGCACCTTCAGGCTGAATATTGATATTTATGATGCACTGTTCATTAAAGTTTTACTTTTATCCTTCATCCTTTCTTTAGTCTTTGCCGGTCTCAATGCCCGACAAATATATGGCTCGTCGATCACCATTTTAGCGACAGCCACTTCAACATACTTCCCTGGGTCTAAGTCAGCACTAAGCTCATACCTCTCCACAAAGGCCACATCATGTTTACCGGGCTTTCTATCTCTTTCCTTCAGTAGATTTTCATGCCTGATCGCCTTAGTTGCTAACTGAAAAAGGTCATTGTACGGTTGCCCTTCCATTCTTTCCCTTATGGGGAATTTCATCCCACAGAAAGCTATCTCGGCAAAAGATCTCTCTGCTAGCTGCGAAAGACACCGATTTCTAGCTTTTCTGAATCGCCATATGAACTGTTCTACCGATTCATTGCTATATTGTTTCATATGAATTTTATGACTCATAAAGTTATATTATGGTCTTACATGGGACCGGTTCCGGACCCAAGATGCACCTTTTTGATGTCGAGTCGTATATTTGCTCCTTCTTGAGATAGAAATAGGATAGATAACATTTTGAGAGAATTTCAATTCAACTTTATCTAATACTAGCATGTAATCTTGCACGACTCGAGGATACTTTGATTTTAGAAAACACAAAGTGCAATCTTTTATAGATCTAAAAACTTGTTCACACTTCATATTTAAGCAATAGTCCCTTAGCATAGCTACGCGATCATATACATTACGATAGTCTAAAATTGATTAAGTTAACATTAGTCTTGTATTGAGATTTCGGTTCCCAAATCCCTGCAGATCTTTGTATACCATGATTTCTGTTTTTGACACTATATTGTTGTTTTCATGTTCAACAAACTGTATCCAGATCGAGCCTAGATTATTGTGCTTGTCATGCCTCCAATTTTACTGTTATCTATGTTCCGGGAAACCAAGAAACGATAACGAAACAATTGGACATGTCTTTGCTGCAACAAAATAGCACCAAATTACATGTCTTGGTTCATTTTGAATGGAAAACTGAGCAGCTCTTTGCTTTAAATAACTCAATCAGTAACCCAACCATGTCTCAGAGCTCAAAAATGACTATGAGAATGGACCGAACCGCATAATACTTCCTGGAGATTGGTGGCGGGCCGAGTACCGTATGAACAAATTCATGACAGCAACAAGAATGAGCTTCTGCTGATGTTCATAGCCCGAGCATGAAAAGAAACAAAAGAGCTCGGAATCTTGAAGAGCTACGGACTTCTTTTGGTAAACCTTAGATTGCTAACAAAATTGAGGATTAGCCATCGAAAAACCGTTCCCACCTCCCTCTTAAAGAAAGTGCAATCACAACAATCTTAATTTACAAGTCGATGCACATAATGACTGACACGTATGAGTAATTCCAAAGAACTTACAAGAAAACACTACAACTAGTAACTACTGGGTACAATGGAAAAGAACATCCAAAGCCCGAGATTAATCCTGGGAAGCGACAGACTTTGATCACATCGCATGAAGTACGAACTACATAATAAATAAATTCAAGCTTTCCGTGGTATTCTCTTAGCACTGGCAGCTTCTATTGATTCCAGTTCTTCCACGACTTCAGCCATGTAAGGCCGAAACTTAGGATCCTTTTGGAGGCATTTTAAGGCAAGCTGAGCTATTTGGAATGCAGAATATATGTAATATTTGCCCTCCAATCTGGAGTCCATTATAGTCCTCGGCTTTTTTTTCCCGGATAAGTGTCTGTTGACACCTGATTTTTAGTCGACGCGTCGTAAAGCTAAAAAATCTTGAGATTAGGGTTTCCGATCACGACAGAACCCAATCCTCAACCAAAAAGAGTCATTTAGCATTTGAATTAGCATTAGCCATTCATTTTCTAGCTTTTTCCGTTTCAAATTCAAAAAGTTAAAGAGTTGACTTTCGAGTTGACATTTTGATCAAACTTTGACCAAAAGTCAACCCAAAGTCAAAATTTAATTTTTTGCATAAAAAAACTCCAAAATAGTGTCAATTTCACTTTTGCATTATCAATTTTCAAAAAATTCAAAGTTTGACCTATTAATTGACATTTTAGTATATAAGTACCAAAATGTTGACCTTTTGGTCAACATTTTGTCCAAAAAAATTCAAAATTTTCAAAACCCCTAGATCAACTCATTTTCAACTCAATTTCACTTTTTCATCACCAATTTTACAAAAATTGGTTTAGAATCAAATTTTCCCCAATTTGCGGAATTTGGTTCAAATCAACAAAAATGAAATTACTTCATTTCTAGTCATTTTTTAGAATAGTTTCCTTCACGACATTTGATCTAGGGGTCGTATTACATTCAATTTCCAAATCAATTTTAGAATTCCAAGCCGAGGATAAAACCCCCCAATTTGAGCCCTAATTAGGGATTCCGGTTGGTTTTTCATGATTTGCGTAATTGAGACACGGATAAGCCTAATTTATTATATGAAACTCAAATCCGAAATCAATTTTGGAAGATTCACATGAATTTGAACCAATTTGATCAATCTAGTGATCCAATGATTGAGAAATCCAAGAGTAATTGGTCCAATTAGTGCAATTCAACTTGACCCATTCTAGACTAACATCCGATTTGATGAATTGAAGTTCAATTTGGGCAATTGAACTTCAATTAAATTCATTAGTCTAGTTTGGCCATGCAATTTAACTTAAGTTGAAGAGCAATTGGGCCAAATAAGTTAAATTGGATCAATTTGTGCCTGTATTTCAAATTGGTTCAATTCAATTTAATCAAATTCAATTCAATTGGGTTAATCAATCATAATAGGGATGAAATTATACAAAATTGGAACAAATTGGGCCGAAAATTGAACCGGTTCAACCCGGTTTGACCGGAATTGAACCAGTCCTTGATTGATTCAATCTTAAAAGGCTATTTTGGAAGGAATATTTACATCATGAAATATCTTAAATTGATTGACAATCAACCCCACGACAAGTTTATTTCTAAATGGAGAAACTCTGTTTATGGAAACCAAAGTTCTGGTTGTGTGGGCGATCAAATTCAGCGGGATTCAAACTTTGTCACTCAACGGCTACTCAATCATTTTTATACAAATCTATCCAAGGTAAAGATTGGAAGATGATCCTCTGAAAACTATCTAACGGCTAATTTGGAAGTGAAAGAGTATAAAAGGAGACAAATTGTCAAGAAGCAGAAGCAGAGAGATAATATCCAGAATCATCCATTCCAAAGTCTGAGCATACTCCGACCAGTGTGACTTGTCCTTCTTGAGCCAAAAATTGTGATATCGAGAGATATATTGTAAGAGTGATTGAGTGAGATAGATTGACCTATCTTTCACAGAAAAGTTATTACTCAGAATTTGTAATCTTTTGATTGAACATCTGGTGGAATCCAGCCAGTAGGGTGTCAGCGTGGGAGAGTGGACGTAGACTTAATCTAAGCCGAACCACTATACATCTATGTGCAAATTTCCTTATCCCTAAAACTCCTTTTATTTAGTTAATTGCACATTTATTTGTTTGCCATTCAAAAATTGATCAAAATTTGAACACTATTCAGACTTGACCTGTGATCAATTATTTCCTGGCCCAATTCCAAAAAAAACCCTCAACTTTATACTTTGTCCCAAATATACCCTGAACTTTTTTTTGTCTCAAGAAAAACCACAAACTTTCATCTAAATCCCAAATTTGCCCTCCGTTAAAAATCCGTCCAAATCCGTCGGAAAAAAAAAAAAAACAGAGAACCGGCAACTGCGGCGGTGGCCAAGCCTTCGCCGGTGGCCGCCGCCACAGCCGTCGGGAAGGAGCGGCGGCCCACGCCTGGGCCTTCCCGAGGGCCGGCGAGGGTCGCCGGCCCGGCGAGCCGCCGGCGAGGGCGCGCAGCCCCCGATCTCGGGGGCAAGGGTCGCGCCTCCCCCGGACGGGGCCGCACGCCCTCGCGGCGGCTCGCCCGGGGGCGGCGACCTCGCCGGCCTTCGAGAAGGCCCAGGCGAGGGCCGACGAGGGTCGCCGGCCCCAGGCAAGCCGCCGGCGAGGCGCGTAGCCCCGATCTGGGGAGGGCGCGACCTCGCCCCAGATCGGGGCTGCACGCACTCCGGCGGCTCGCCCGGGGCGGCGAGGGTCGCCGGCCCTCGCCTCGGGCCTTCTCGAAGGCCGGCGACCCTCGCCGGCCCGGGCGAGCCGCCGGCGAGGGCGCACATCCCCCGATCCGGGGAGGGCGCGACCTCGCCCGATCGGGGCCTGCGCGCCCTCGCCGGCGGCTCGCCCGGGGCCGGCGACCCTCGCCGGCCTTCGGGAAGGCCCAGGCGTAGGCCGCCGCTCCTTCCCGACGGCTGTGGCGGCGGCCACCGGCGAAGGCTTAGCCACCGCCGCAGCTGCCGGTTCTCTGTTTTTTTTTTTTTTTTTCTGACGGATTTGGACGGATTTTTAACGGGAGGGCAGATTTGGGACTTAGATAAAAGTTTGTGGTTTTTCTTGAGACAAAAAAAAGTTCATGATATATTTGGGACAAAGTGTAAAATTGAGGGTTTTTTTTGGAATTAGGCCATTATTTCCTCGTTAAATTGGTCAAATAGTGCTAAAATCACTTATTCACCCCTCCCCCCCTCTATGTGATATTTGCTAGTCTCATTAATATACATGTCATGAATATTCCGAAGAACTTACAAGAGAATACAACACCTAGTAATTGCTGGGTACAATGGAGATGAACATTCACAGCCCAAGATTAATCCTGGGAAAATGGAAAAATGTGGAGCAACGGACTTTGACCACATTACATGAAGTACGAACAACATAATAAGTGAAATCAAGAACCCCGTGGTATTCTGTTAGCATTGGCAGCTTCTATCGATTCCAGTTCTTCCACGAGTTCAGTCATGGAAGGCCGCTTGTAAGGAGTCCTCTGGAGGCAATTTAAAGCTAGCTGTGCTATTTGGAATGCAGAATCCACAGAATAATTGTCCTCCAATCTAGAGTCCGTTATAGTGTTCAGTTTTCTTTTACTAGATAAGAGTGGTCTGGCCAACTCCACTAAAAGACGTTTTGCTTTTGGACAGTTCACATCAAATGCCCTTAAGCCTGTTAGTATCTCAAGCAACACAATGCCAAAACTGTAAACGCCACTCTTTACATAAAATATATTCTTGTGAGGTAGGGTTGTCCATGATGGAGCCTCCTCTGACTTGGGATAGTTGAAAGAGGAATGCCTCTTTCTGTCTACCATGTACTTGTGCGGGATTTAGGCTCCGTTTATTTTGCGGAAAATGAATGATTTGAAAAATATTTTTCCAAAAATGATCATTTGTATTGTTTAAAAAAATGAATTGACAATAAATATTTTCATCGTCTATGAAAATATTTAGACATAAATTATTGTCAATAATGAAAACATTTTTCATTGATTAATTGAAAACACCACAGCATCTTAAGTGCGTAAGAGAGAAAGAGAGGTAGAGCGAATTTCTTTTCTTTTTTTTCCTTCTCTCTTTTTACTCTTCTTCACTCTGCCACCATCATGCAGTGCTATGTCTGTGGACACAAGTGTCAAAAATATTTGAACCGAACCGAACCGGTTTGTCATATGTTAACTTGATCATTGAGTAGGCTTGAACCGCTCGCCACGACTCTTACACTTGAAGGCAGGGGCGGGTTTCGGCACAATCACGGCGGCTCAGACCTTCTCTGTGTCTCTCTCTCTCAATGAGACGCCAATAAACCCACAACTTAAAATTGAAGCATGGACGGACAACCAGCCCGACATGGGCCAATGAAGCGAATCAATCGGCCTAGCTATAGCCCACGCACAAAAGCTTTTTGGCCCAGCCAGACATGACACGCACACAAGATCAAACTACCTTGGCTTCTGCAGCAAAACTAGCTTTATTTTCTCAACTGAACTATGTAAGTTACAAGTGTATGTATCCTGCTCCTAGTATCACCACTAGCAGAAAGCAATTATTGAAAGTGAGTATGTCAAAGAAATGCCATGGCCCAGTACATATCGAGAAAAGGAGTACGTTTTCCCCAAGAATTAACCCAATGCCTCGTCTGGATGGTCCGGATGGTCCGGAAATATCCGAAACGCTCAACCTGAGGACCTTGGACTCACTACAGTGACCGCCAAACCTCCCTTACCCCCAAAGAATAATATAAATAGTATCAGAGCCGACTCCTAGCATTACGACAGTGATATTGATAACCTATACTGCTTTACAAAATCTAAATCCCAAAATTGCAGGAGAAAAGTAGTTGTCTGGGCAAACAGCATTTACATTTTATATAGAGTAGAGACGATGAATCTGCAGTGAGAGGAGGTGATGAATAAAGAATGCGACCATGCCTGAGAAAGTTCGCTGAGCTGGGATCAATTGTCTAAGCACCAGTGTTTTCTATTAGCTGCAACTAAATTTTTCCAGTGTTTTCACGACTTCGTCCATTGATGGCCGATGATTGGGCGAAATTTCAAGACATTGGAATGCGAGTGCGGCTACGTCAAGAGCATCCTTCAGAGGGTATTGCCCTTCCAGCCGAGAGTCCATGATTCCTGTCAAGTTCCCTTGAGAAAGATGAGGCTTGACCCACTCCACCAAAATCAGCTGATCACTTGGACGATTTGCATCATATGCTCGCAATCCCGTCAAAAGCTCAACCAGTACAACCCCAAAGCTATAGACATCGCTCTTTACATACAAATGACCTGTTCAACCAAAATGATGTGATACTCTAACATGAGTTTGCTAAACACATCTTCATGCATGGTCAAACGAAGTCCAAAGTGCAATGTTCTTGGCAATGATCACCCCAAGCAATTCGGAAAGTCCATCATATTACCTGTGGCCATGTACTCGGGTGCTGCATAGCCCAAAGTTCCAATAACCTGTGTTGACACATGTGATCTGCCTTCATCTGGACCCTTTCTTGCCAACCCAAAATCTGATATTTTGGCATTATAGGACTGTCGAAACACATGCCAAACAAAAGGTCAAAGTGGATAAGGTCTCTTTTCTACTGCTAGTGTGATCTATGTATAAATAAATTTGGACTATGCAGACTTAATAAGCTTAGCTCGGGCCAATGATTGGTATTATAAACTAACTACAAACAGAGTAGCTTGGGATTATATATATTTAAATGGCCATAACAACAAAGCCTCCCGACCAAAAAAGAAGGAAAACATACATGGAAGTAAGATCTGGCGAACCAGGTTACGCGTCATTTTGAAGATGCTTTGCAATGATAGTCCCGTGTTTTATGTGAAAACCTTGACAGAATGAAAGCCTGAAAGCATGAGGTTTCAAATTCTTGCAGTTTCCAGAATGGCAAGAGAGGATTGCGGAAAGAGGGATGTTGCAAACATATGTGCATTATTTCAGCACGGGAGAAGACTAGGAACCAAATTTTAAATGTAACAACAATGTGGTACTGCTTAATTTAATCTAAATAACGAACATGTACATACTGAGTCCAGTAATATGTTTGAGGGCTTGAAATCTCTGCAGATTATTTGCCTCTCTAACTGATGCAAGAATGCGAGACCTCTGGCTGCTCCTATTGCAATTTTAAGCCGCGTGGCCCATGGAAGTGGATTCCAGCCTCCTGCAACAGGAAAGACACTTGATTCAGATAGTACATTGAACCAAGAAAAGATCATATTTGCGATAAATTCGAAGCAAGGATGTATATATCACCCAAGAAAGAACCTTACTTCGAAAGAGGTGATTCTTTAGGGTACCCTTTCGCATGAACTCATAGACAAGAAGTAGTTCTTTATCCTCCAGACAATATCCCAGTAGTCTGACAATGTTTGGATGAGATAAGCTGCCCAGGAACTTCACCTCCGACTGCAAAAAGTTATCACTCCCAGATCAAAATAGGGCAAGACCTCACAATTTCTCATTTTATTTAAGTAAACAGGCATCACCTGGAGAAAGAGAGAGGAGACAGAACAATCAATTTATGTGATAAGAAGTTGAAGAAACGCACAATGGCACCCTAAGAGCCATCTGGCGTGGATGCACCCTAAAGATATTTAGATGGTAGCAAATAATCTGAGATAAAAACGGGGATGAAATATCCATTGATGCATCATCACCCCTGTTCAATAGTAAATCCTGACATGTGATCTAAATGGTTGAATTTCATATGCCTTGCTGTAAGTACACAACCTCATATTCATGAAAAGAAACAAAGGAGCAAGCAAATCTTAAGTGCTTGACCTATTTATAAAGCAAGTAAACATCCCTCACATGATTTTGACATTGGCAATGACTATAGAGGATAAAATTGATGGCTGTAAGGGTGACCATGTAGAGTCTAAAACATAGAATCAGATGAGCTCCGATATGCAACATGATAGAAAAGAATGCACTCATCTTGTGTTGTGCACAGTAGATGTCCACCTTCCAAGAAAGACAATAGCATCTCGAGTGATGATCAATTTTGAAAATTTAAATGCTGACTACTTTATGTGGAGGCTCAGTCCTTCCCTCCTCATCTTTTACCTTTTGAAAGACTTGTATGCTAAATAACTTGTACTGTCATTTATTAGGTGACTCACAAAAAGTAAATGGCAGGATCTTATTTATTCTTTCAAGGATAATGGAGAAGAAAAGTTATGTCCAGTTTCTCCTACTGTAGCATTAGTTTGGACTCAAACAATTATGTCACCTCACTTTCAGGGCCGGTCTGCATATTTTTCCACAAATAGATAATCCTCACTAAGGCTGATTTTAGTTTCTAGCACTATGTTGAGAAATTCCAGAGGAGGCAGCACTAATGTCATCGAACTCATATTGGGATTTACTGTTTCAGGTACATTATAGTTTCATCCTTTGAGTTTAGCTTAAAAGGCAAGGGTATAAGTCATAATATTTTCTGATGCAGGGCATAAAGTCCTTCTCTGGAATGAAAGAAGAGTCCCTACATTTCGAAGCTTACGAGCTATCACGGGACTTTATTATATTACTTATAAACAATGACTTTTCCACTCCAGCTCTCAAGGATCTAAGATATAGAACCCAAAGCTGGCAAAGCTTCTCTCCTTCTCCTACTGGTTTCCTACACTTCCATGCTGTTTGGCTGCTGGAAAACAAACATACATGCAATGTTCTACACAACATAGACATAATAATAGTAGGACAAGATTGTGGAATCTCAAGATTTAGATCAAGAGCACAGTTGCTCATTTGAGGTATTTATTGATCAAGTGGCCCTAGGATTTACAGTAGCTTGCCTTCTCACCACACAACCCCTCCAGGCCACTCGGATGTGCTTTCCAAAACGGATATGCCTTAACCATTTATCTCTCTCATAGCTTTTCATCCCGATAACATGTTCAGCAAATTTTTTAAAACAGCTTTTCTCAAAATTTTTTGACTATTCAAGGGTCCAATTGTACATGCGTTTGGAAACTTATATGGGCCATCTATTTCACCCAGCACTGTGCCTGCTGTTTTGATTGGAACAGATATAAAATAAACGCTGGAAAATTAAAGGCGCCGGGCGAAGAATAAGCAAATTTTTACTCTTCTATTGCGTGCCTAGAAAATAATTGCAATAACCCCAGAAGTTGTTGAAAACAGAATCTCAAAAGATTTGTTCAATGCTTTTATGTGGACTTGACCCATACAATGGAAAAGCAAGCCGATTTTTCTCCAAACTCTTGCCTACAAATGCTCCTGGTCACAGGAGTAACCACGGACCCTAAATAAAGGATAAGAGGAGCATGCACTGTCTTCTCTTAAATAATGCAATCCTAAAAAGAATAATCTGGTCCACATCATTGATAAAACCCCCAGAAATATGTGTTCAGTTGGGCAATGACGTATACTCTCGAAAGGAAGAAACCAAACTAACATAGTGAACTTCAAGTGAAATTAGACACACAAAACCAGAACAATCTCGCCACAAAAAGGCCACTAACATTTATCATCTCGTTCTCATTGTTCTACAACAAACCACATATCTGGAGACTATTTTTCTCCACCATCACAATAACCTTCTTGCTACAAATGCAAAGCGATAACATTAAATACTGCAAAGCACATGCAACCCAAGATTTCCTGAGAGGAACTAAGATTACCTCCCATTCTTTGAATCCTTGCATGCCCTCTGGGTTCAACCTTTTGATGGCAACTGGAGTCATTCCATTCCTCCAGGAAGACTCCTTCTCAACAAGGTAGCCTTTGTAGACTCTACCAAAACCACCCACGCCGACCAATGTTTTAGCTCTGAAGTTTCTTGCTGCAACTTTTAGCTCTGCAAAACTAAAGACCCTAATTTCTGAAGTGGGAGCAACATAAATATTTGGAATAGACTCATTCGACCTCCCTCCCAAACTCCTGCTCAGGCCATCCTCAGAAGACGATGAACTGCTTATAGTCAGAACAGGTCCTCCTGTGATTACACAAGTGAAGAGAAAAAGGTGAAGAAATTGTCATGAGCTGAAGACAGGTGCTAGAGACAAGCAGGAACTAATTAACTTATTGAGATGTCAGCCGGTGGGAAGTAAGTTAGTTAGGGTAGTTAGAATCTGAAGTTGTTATTGGACATGTCTATTAGTATAGTCCTTCATAATCTGCTTTCTCTGTAAGTTGAAGCTTGCATGAATTTCAGGATTAAAAGAATGCAGGAGCACAATAACTATAAAAACATGCAGAATATCTAGAAGATGGATAGCTAGGGTTCGATCTCTTGCATTGAAACTCCGACACCATGTTAAACTGCCCTTCATTCAAATGCTCAAACTGTTGGGAGTGAGTCCATCTTGTATATCAAACAGTTTCCATAAGTATGCCATGACCAATATGTTTCATTCTCATAGCAAATGCCTCCTTGTTCATATCCGCTCTTTCAATCAGATTGTTCTCATTTCTTGCCTCTATTCCTTGCTAATTTTCTTTTACCTCAGAATTCTAGCTAAAGCATCAAAACTCAATTCTATTCATCCAATGAAATGCGCGATCCAAATGTGAAGGGCAACAAAGTAAAACCACAGGAGGAACTAAAATCAAAATGCTGTCGCAAAAGTTCCTACATGCTAACTCAAATCCAACAAAAACAACTAAATTATCAAACCCATGGAATCACAATTAGAAGTCCAGAACTATCATAAGGGGACAAAAAAACCTGCATTCTCAGGACAAGACCAGCTGGAGATCATATCCTAAAAACGCACCAGTCATGGTGAAAAAGACACCAAAAGAAAACAAAACAAGAAAGCAAGCAAGAAAGAATTGCAGAGGAAACAAGGGAATTACCGGGTCTAAGATGACCAGTGAAGCTAGGAGTTGGGTAGTCAGGAACTCCCCAGCAAATTCCCATGGGATGATTTATATCTTCCCTCCTCCTCAAAACAAAGTCTCTCGAGCTTCAACGAAGAAGAAGGAGAAGAAGAAGAAGATGGGTCAGTGTGAAAGCAGGGAAAGGGCTTTTTCCTCTGATGCTGATCATGGCTCAAGAACCATTATCATTCGGAATCGTTCGTCATACCTCATAAACAATTTTTATTCATGGGTGTCTCATTTCTTCTCTCTTTCTCTCCCTCTATTTTCTTTTTCCTATTCTTTTTTGTGCGACGACAGAACAAGAGAAGAGGGAGGATGGTATTCTTTGACTTGTATTGCTCGGATTCCGCTGGTTCAAAGTCGCTGACTTCGAGTCCATGCGGGGAAGGAGGGAAGTGGGGCAAAATGGGTAGAACAAGAATTGGAAGAAAGCGAGGGAAACCAACGAGACGAAAAGGAATGTAACTGTCTGTGCTTTGCGGCATACTATCTTGATGTCGGGAAATTCTGTGGCAAGGGAAGAAAAATTATCAGATGGTTGTAGAAAAAATAGCAACTAATAAACTTTTAAGAAAGAAAATGACTATCAATTTGTCAATTTTAATATTTATTAAGGAAAAATTACGATATATTGAGATGATTACGAAATAAAAGGGCCCTTAAATATACAAACCGTAAAGAAGATATTATGATCAATGGGCAAAGTTACCGAGAATATGAAAACGAAATTTGTTGTTTACCATATTATATGGATAGTTACAAAATGTTTGGAAATTCTACCTTACAATTCTTTAAGATATATTAAAATATTTGAGGGATCCTCAGGTTATCATTACGAACTCTATAGTCAAGCTACCATTTATAAATTTAAGTGATACGTTGCAAGTGAAAACGACTTGCGACGATTAGAAACAAATTATGATCCGTAAAGTTGAATTATAGTCTTATACGGACCGGTCCATTTCCTACGCACCCAAGAAGCACCCTGTCCAGTCCTATATTTGCTCATTCTTGAGATAGCAACATGATAGATAAAATTTGAGAAAACTTCAATCCGACTTTATCTAATACTGGCATGTATAAGAATTATGTGTCTTATTCAGCAACGAAACAATTGGACATGTCTTGGCTGCAACACGATAGCACCAAATGACATATCTTGTTCATTCTGAATGGACAGCTGAGCAGCTCTTTGCTTTGAATGACTCCATCAATATACCCAACCATGTCTCAGAGCTCAAAAATCACTATGAGAATGGACCGAGCCGCATAACACTTCCTGGAGATTGATTGCAGAGCGAGTACCACATGAACAATTTCATGACAGTCGGCTGATTTTCAAAGCTTGAGCATGAAAAAGAAAACAAAAGAGCTTGCACTCTTGAAAAGCTACGGATTTCATTTGTGAACTTCAGATTGCTGACAATATCGAGGAATAGCCTTAGAAAAACTGTTCCTCTCTTAAACAAAAGTACAATCACAACATCTCAGTTCACAAGCTGATGCATGTACTGAAATACAGGTCATGAATATTCCAAAGATCTTACCAGAGAAGACAACACCTAGTAATTGCTGGGTACAATGGAAATGGACATTCAAAGCCCAAGACTAATCCTGGGAAAAAATGGAAAAGTGTGGAGCAACAGACTTTGATTTACATCACATGAATTATGAACAACATAATAAGCTAATTCAAGCATCCCGTGGTATTCTATTAGCATTGGAAGCTTCTATTGATTCCAGTTCTTCCACGACTTCAGTCATGGAAGGCCGCTGCGTATGTTCCACACGGAGGCATATGAAAGCTAGTTGTGCTATTTGGAATGCAGAATCTGTATAATATTTGCCCTCCAATTTAGAGTCCATTATAGTCTTCAGAAATCTTTTACTGGATAAGAGTGGTCTGACCCACTCCACTAAATTCTTCCTCCCTGCCGGACGGCTCCGATCAAATACAGTTAAGCCTGTTAGTATCTCAAGCAGCACAACGCCGAAACCGTAAACATCACTCTTTACATAGAGATGCCCTGTCAAATCCAAGAGTTTTATATAATGTGGCAGCGAAGCATCAAAGTAACTTACTGATGCACTTCCTATCATTGTCAAAATTCAAGACCAAACATCCTTCAGCCCTAAGTCACCAAAAAGCACTTTACCCAATGGAAAACGTTTTATTGGATTACCAGTTGCTAGGTATTCAGGGGCAGCATAGCCAAAGGTACCCATAACCCGTGTTGAAACATGTGACTCGCCCTCTGCAGGACCAGACTTCACCAATCCAAAGTCCGAGAGTTTGGCCGTGTAAGACTGCAGAAGAACCCAACAGTGGATTAAAAGTTTCCAGCCTAAATATCGACCGCAAACTTTCATGAATCTAGCAAATAACAAAATGGAGTTATCTAAAAGCAACTGGGGACTGGTTCATGATCTCGTCTCGTGTTCTGAACATAATATCAACTCTAAGAAGATTTGCTATCAACTATAGCCCTTTCATTAATAAAGCAGATGGAAACATGGGATCTCCACTTGCTATTATGACTCGTCTCCTGGTTAGAGGACGCAATTCCAAGTCTTCAAAGGGAGATACTAGGCATGTCATAGTCATCATTATCCTTCTCTCAAGAACTTGACTAAGAATTTTATGATACAGGACCATAATCATTATAAGGAGGATAAGTTATTAACCCCATCTAGCAAAATATTTGAAGTTTTGAAATCCCTGTATATGAGTTTCCTCTCAGAACAGTGCAAGAAAGCCAGGCCTCTGGCAGCCCCAACCGCAATCTTGAGGCGCACATCCCATGGAAGATGAGCCGCGGAGCCCCCTGTACTAGAGTAATGGACAGTGTAAAATGTAAGTAATGCTTAGATGCAAGTACATGTTTAAACTAGCTTGAATTTTGAAATGAGCACATTTGTCAACTGACTGTCAACCGACCAAGAAGATATGCTAAACAATTGGCTTCCTTAAGGAGACTTTTCAGAAATTCACAGAGCGATTAGGCCATTTACTTCTGAATAGGTGGTTGTTCAAGCTGCCCTTTGGCATGAACTCGTAAACAAGAGCTAAATTTTCATCCTGTCGACAATATCCCAGGAGCTTGGCAAGGTTAGGGTGAGATAGCTTCCCAAGAAACTCTATCTCCGTCTGCACGAATAGAAAATAAGCAAAAGAGAGTCTCACACATGGTCAGTATCAAAAGATATAAAAGAAATGGAAGCCCTCACACTAGACCATGTAGGATGTTTTTCTCCTTAGGCTTCAATTTATCAACAGGAATGAAACGGTCACAAGAGAATAGTTGATAGCGAAACAAAAGGTACAAAATGGGAACTGAGACCTAATTCCCATTGAAATGTTTAGTTTAACTAGTAGTTTGACAGAAGACTCATGGTCATTGTGTGTCTTGGAATATAAAATGGATATCAATATCGGTAAAATGTACTTCAGATCATACTAACTCTGTAAAACATATCTAGCCCGTCCAGTATTAGCTATGCAGAATCATTGAAATTTGAAAGTGAAACCAATTGTAATTTGCAATCATTGGTAACTTTATCTCACGGTGGTGTATCCACCCTCTATCTTTGATTAGCCTTGCAATTTGTTTCAGTTCTTGAATATAGAAGCAGAATTCGCTTGAAGGAAGAAGAAAACAAGATCGCTATGAAAAGAACCACATTTCATTAGTCAAAGAAGGTTGAATGACTCTGTCCACTGAGGCCAACGAGTGAGACCTAGTCTCCTAGGGGCTATGATCACGTCCAAAAGGTTGATCATCACATAGATGGAAGACTGTGAACTTAGATTTGCGCAATTTCTTCAGTCCTTGCAATTGAATCACACTTAGTAGGCTCTTCTAATAGTTAGCCTCATACAAGCCACAAACGCACTCATGTTTATGTAGTCCATTACAAAATTAAAAAAAAATGCAAAAAGAAAGTTCTTCAGTCTAAACTAAATGGAGCCTTATAATTTGATCCGCTGAGGACCTTAGTGACTAAACAATCTGAAGAACAAACTAAAAGCGTATCTTCAGCTGTAACTGAATTTTCGATTTTTCCTTTCTATCGGAATGATTGAAGCAAAATAGCATCTTAGATTCTTCTTTTACTTAATTTAAATTGAAAAGATTCACATTGTGTACACTAATGTTGGGTTGGTTAGGTAACTGATGACTTCATGAGGATCATGAACATACAAGTAGGCAATATCACCAAACAATTAATTCAGGTTGCAAGGCCAGGCCACCACTTATGCAAAAACCTAGGAGGATTAACTTACAGTACATTTGGATTTGCCTTTTCATAGCCATCATAATTCTGGTTGTCTAGCATTTCTGCTGCTATTTTTCACAAAAAGGTGATTATTGACGCATTTGAGTTTGGCATGACAAGCTCACTGGAGATTGGGAACAGATGGACTTTCTAAACGACCGATTTTAATGACGGGATTTATCACTGCTTTGAGCTACTTTAGTGGCTTGGCCAATTTACTTGAGATGCATTTGGGTTGCTTCGATTTAGTAATTGACAAAGCAAAGTATTTATTTTCCAACAAAGGAAAATGAAGACGACTAAGTTCTTACCAGCCACTGTTCATACCCTTGAAAACCCTCCGGGTTTAACCTTTTCACAGCTATTATAGCCCTTGTCCTTCCAGACTGTTGCTTTCCATGAAGCACCCCTTTATAGACAAGACCAAATCCTCCCTCTCCAACCACCGCATCGGGTCGAAAATTATTGGTTGCCTCTTTCAACTCTGCGAAACTGAAGACGGTCAAGTTGGGTGCTGCCAAAATCTCTCCATCTCCGAAGGCCTGATTGTCGCGGGCACCCACCAAGTCGTGGCTATTGCTGGCTGCAGAAGATGATGAACTACTGATTGTCAACTTCATCCCTGCAGTTTCAAAAAAAGAAAACAGAGAAAATTGCTTTAGACGGTCACAAGAAGAAGATCAAAGACTCCAAACTGAAGCACACAGATTCATTTTATAGGGACAAGATAGATGTAGAGATGAAGAGCACTCTCGCAAAAACTTTTACTAGTACCTGATTTGAGATAACCGGTAAAGCTAGGAGTAGGGAAGTCAGGAGTACCGTAACACACCCCCATCTCTCTCTCTCTCTCTCTCTCTCTCTCTCTCACAGGAACTACTGTCTTCCCTCTTCCTTGCCTCTCCCAAAAGTTGTTTCTTCAGGAGAGGAGGACAACCAAACCACCCAAAAGCTCCCTGATCAGGCAACAGTAACAACAGTTGATTAATTTATGCTGTATATTCCTAATTTCTTGAATTTTTTTCTGGCCAACCAACCAGTCTTTCGGCGGAAAAGCGACCTGGGTCGGGACGAAATCTAACCAGTTTTTTATTGCATCCCTAGCGTCGGGACGAAATCTAACCAGCTGGTCAACGATATTCACATGGCCTTGAAATGCTGCAATATGAAGAGGGGATTCTGCATATTGGTCTACGAGGTATGCCGCGGAGTTATCGCGTCGCCGGAACAGCTGAACTGCTTCAACTCCACCCAAAGCACGCAGCATAATGGAGAGGAATCAAACCAATCTCATCTCCTTCTCTTATCATTTCTGGCCTCCTCTAAACGATCATGTCCAAGCAACCCTGGCAAGTGCAATACTATGAGGGTCACGAGAACAATTAAGACAGTCTTCAGCACCTTCAGGCTGAATATTGTTATTTAAGATGCACTGTTCATTGAAGTTTTACTTTTATCCTTCATCCTTTCTTTAGTCTTTGCCGGTCTCAATGCCCGACAGATATACAGCTTGTCGATTACCATTTTAGCGACAGCCACTTGAGCATACTCCCCTGGGTATAAGTCAGCACTAAGCTCATACCTCTCCACAAAGGCCACATCATGTTTACCGGGCTTTCTATCTCTTTCCTTCAGTAGATTTTCATGCCTGATCGCCCTAGTTGCTAACTGAAAAAGGTTATTGTACGGTTGCCCTTCCATTCTTTTCCTTATGGGGAATTTCATCCCACAGAAAGTTATCCCGGCGAAAGATCTCTCTGCTAGAGGCAAAAGACACCGATTTCTAGCTTTTCTGAATCGGCATATGAATTGTTCTGCCAATTCATTACTGTATTGTTTCATATGAATTTTATTACTCATAGAGTTAAATTTCGGTCTTACACAGGACCGGTTCCGTACCCAAGATGCACATTTTTTATGTCTAGTCCTACATTTGCTCCTTCTTGAGATAGAAATAGGACAGATAACATTTTGAGAGAATTTCAATTCAACTTTATCTAATACTAGCATGTAATCTTGCACGACTCGAGGATACTTTGATTTTGGAAAAAACAAAGTGCAATCTTGTATAGAACTAAAAACTTGTTTTTTTTTTTTTTGGTAAGGAAGAACTAAAAACTTGTTCATACTTCATATTTAAGAAATAGCTGTTTAGCATAGCTACGCGATCATATACATCACGATAGTCTGAAATTGATTAAGTAAACATTAGTCTTGTGTTGAAATTTCGGTTTCCAAATCCCTGCAGATCTTTGTATACCATGATTTCTGTTTTTGTCACTGTATCGTTGTTTTCATGTTCAACAAACTGTATCCAGATTGAGCCTAGATTATCGTGCTTAAGTTCTGCCTCCAATTTTACTGTTATCTATGTTCCAGGAAACCAAGAAAAGACAACAAAACAATTGGACATGCCTTAGATGCAACAAAATAGCACCAAATTACATGTCTTGTTCATTTTGAATGGACAACTGAGCAGCTCTTTGCTTTAAATGACTCAATCCGTAACCCAACCTTGTCTCAGAGCTCAAAATGACTGAGAATGGACCGAACCGCATAACTCTTCCTGGAGATTGGTGGCGGGCCAAGTACTGCATGAACAAATTCATTACAGCAATAAGAATGAGCTTCTGGTGATGTTCAAAGCCCGAGCAAGAAAAGAAACAAAAGAGCTCGGACTCTTGAAGAGCTATGGACTTCTTTTGGTAAACCTTGGATTGCTAACAAAATTTAGGATTAGCCATCACCGTCCCCCTCTTAAAGAAAATGCAATCACAACATCTCAATTCACACGTTGATACACATAATGATAGACACATGAATATTCCTAAGAACTTACAAGACAACACAACACCTAGTAACTACTGGGTACAATGGAAAGGAACATTCAAAGCCCAAGATTAATCCTGGGAAGCAACAGACCTTGATCACATCACACGAAGAAGTACGAACAACAAAATAAATAAATTCAAGCATTCCGCAGTATTCTATTAGCACTGGCAGCTTCTATTGATTCCAGTTCTTCCACGACTTTAGTCATGGAAGGCCGCTGATTAGGATCCGCTCGGATGCATGTTAAAGCTAGCTGTGCTATTTGGAATGCAGAATCTATATAATATTTACCCTTCAATCTAGAGTCCATTATAGTCCTCGGTTTTTTTTTCTTGGATAAGAGTGGTCTGGCCCACTCCACTAAAAGATGTTTGCCTACTGGACGGCTCAGATCACACGCCCTCGAGCCTGTTAGTATCTCAAGCAACACAACGCCGAAACTATAAACGTCACTCTTTACATAGAGATGCCCTGTAAAATCCAAGAGTTATATGTGATGTTGCAGCGAAGAGTCAGAAAATAACTTCCTGATATTATTGTCAAAATTCAAGACTAAACGTCCATCAGCACTAAGTCACCAAAAAGCACTTTATAATGGAAAAATTACCAGCTGCTATGTATTCAGGGGCAGCATAGCCACGGGTACCCATAACCCGTGTTGAAACATGTGACATGCCTTCTCGAGGACCAGACTTCACCAATCCAAAGTCCGAGAGTTTGACCGTGTAAGACTGCAGAAGAACCGGACAGTGGATTAGACTCGGGTTCCGGCCCAAATATCAATTGCAAACTTTTGTGAATGTAGCAAAAAAACAATATGGAGATATCTAAAAGCAACCGGGGACTGGTTAATGGTCTTGTCTCGTGTTCTTAACTTAACATCAAATCTAAGAAGGATAGATTTGCAATCAACTATAACCCTTCCATCAATTAAGCAGAGGGAAACATAGGATCTCCACTCGCTATTCTGACTCTCTTCTCCTGGTTAGACGACACAATTCCAAGTCTTCGAAGTGAGATACTAGGCATGTCATTGTCATCATTACACTTCTCCCAAGAATTTGTCTAGAATGATAAGAGTTCATATGAATTTTACGACACAAGACCTCAATCATTCTAAGGAGGATAAAGTATTAACCCCATCTAGTATAATATTTGAAGATTTGAAATCCCTGAATATTATTTGCCTCTCAAAACTGTGCAAGAAGGCCAGGCCTCTGGCAGCCCCAACCGCAACCTTGAGGCGCACATCCCATGGAAGATGAGCAGTGGAGCCCTCTGTACCAAAGTATTGGACAGTGTAAATTTGGTAAGGAAGACAGTGTAAAATGTTAGTAATGCCTAAAAGCAAGAACATGTTCAAACTAGCTTGAATTTTGAAATAGGCACATGCATCAACTATGACTATCAACTGATCATACGCCAAACAATTGGCATCCTCAAGGAGACTTTTCCGAAATTCAGAGTGATAAGACCACTTACTTCTGAATAGCTGGTTTTCCAAACTGCCCATTGGCAAGTACTCATAAACAAGAGCTAAATTTTCATCCTCTTGACAAAATCCCAGGAGCTTGACAAGGTTAGGGTGAGATAGCCTTCCAAGAAAGTCTATCTCCCTCTGCACGAAAATAAGCAAAAGAGTCTCACACATGGTCAGTCGTAAAAGATATGAAAGAAATGGAAGCCCCCACACAATACCAGGTAGATGTTTTTCTCCTTAGGCTTTAATTGGTCAAAGAAATAAAACAATCACAATGGAATAGTTGATATCGAAACAAAAGGTACAGAATGGGAACCGAGACCTAATTCCCGATTAAATGTTCAGTTTAACTAGTAGTTTGACCGAAGACTCGTGGTCATTGTGAATCCTGTGACATAAAATAAATATCAATATTGGTAAAATGTACTTCGAGTCATACAACCTCTGTAGAAAATATGTAGCTCGCATGAAACCTGTAGTAGCTATGCAGAATCATTGGAATTTGTAACTGAAATCATTTATAATTTGCGATCGAACTGGTAACTTTATCTTGCAGTGGTGTATCCACCCTATATGGTTTGATCGGCCTTGCAATTAGTTTCAGTTTCTTGAGTATAAAGCAGAATGTGCTCGAAGGAAGAAGAAAAACAGTTCACTGTGAAAAGAACGACATTTCATTAGTCAGAGAAGGTTGCATGACTCCATCCATCGAGGCCGACAAGTGAGACCAAGTCTCCTAGGGGCTATGATACACATTGAAAAGGTTGATCATTACATAGATGGAAGACTGTGAACTTAGATTTGCGCAATTCCTTCATTCCTTGCAATCGAATTACACTTACTAGGCGCTTCTAATAGTTAGCATCATACAAGCCATTGGCGACACTCACTCTCACAACTCTCCAGGTATGGTTTTATTTAGTCCATTACAAAGTTAAAGAAATGCAAAAGGAAAGTTCATCGCTGTTAACTAAATGGAGCCTTATAATTTAATCTGCTGAGGACTATAGTGACTGGATAATCTCAAGAACAAACCTAAAAGCATATTTTCAACTGTAACTAGATCTTTCATATTTCCTTTCTATCGGAATTATTGAAGCAAAATAGCTTATGTTGGGTTTGTTAGGTAACTGAGGACTTCGCGTGGATCGTGAACATATGTGTAGGCTATAGCACCAAACATCTCAGTCAGGCACCAGTAATCCTGTTGTCTGCTGCCTACTGCCATCATTTTGCATCCCAACAAAGCCGATGAGGCAATCAATGAACTGTCAGAAATATCTGATCTCTCTACCAGAATCAGATGCAATCCTACAAGGGCCCTTTAAAAAAACAAAATTGCAAGGCAAGGCCACCACTTAAAAAAATCCTAGCATAATCTATTTCAAGTACATTTGGATTTGCGTTTACATAGGCATCCTGATTCAGGTTGTCTAGTATTACTGCTCCTGCTATTTTCACATTGAAGGAGCTTATTGACACATTTTATTTTGGCATGACAAGCTCCCATTAGTACCATCATGCATTTGGGTTGCTTCAATTTATGATTGACAGAGCAAAGTATTTATTTGCCAAGAAAGGAAAATGAAGAAGACGTAGTTCTTACCCGCCACTCTGTATACCCTTGGACACTATCCGGTTTTAATCTTTTCACAGCTATTATAGTCTCTGTCCTTCCAGACTCTTCCTTCCCACGAAGCACCCCTTTATGGACATAACCAAATCCTCCTTCTCCAATCACCGTATCGCGTCCAAAATTTTTGGTTGCCTCTTTCAACTCTGCGAAACTGAAGACGGTCAAGTTGGGGTCTGCCAAAACCTCTCCATCTCCAAAGGCCTGATTGTCACCGGCAGCCACCAAGTCATGGCTACTGCTGGCTGCAGAAGATGATGAACTACTGACTGTCAACTTCCTCCCTGTAGTTTGCAAAACAAAAAACACAGAAAATAGCTTCAGACGATGAAAAGAAGAAGATTAAAGACTCCTGATTGAAGCACATGCATCCATTTTATAGAGACAAGATAGATGTACGGATAGAGAACACTCTTCCAAAACCTTTAAGAGTACCTGATCTGAGATAACCAGTAAAGCTAGGAGTAGGGAAGTCAGGAGTACCATAACACACCCCCATCTCTCTCCTTTGCCTCTCCCAAATCTTGCTTCCTCGACCATGCGACTGATGTTGTCAAGCAACAGTGCGTTTGTATGTGCAAAATAAAGTAAAGTTGTTCGATAAACCTGAAATGAGTGATCCGAATTTGACTATTGATCCGAGCCCAACGAATTCACGTTATGTCCTCAAGACAATTTATCCCCTCTACCGGTACCCAAAGGTTGTTGAACAATTACCTCCCAGGATAGAACAGATTGCCTCTTCTATCCTCTTCGATTGATCTCACATCACCTCTTTTATCCTCTGTGGGACACTTTCATCCACACACTTCTCATTTAATTCTATAGGATTTGGATGCCAAAATCCCAACAACTGAAACAATAGTCATTTATGAACTCATGCCGAATTTCTAACTCCGTACATCTTTTCTCTTCTTTTTTCTGGCCCACCGAACACTCTCTCAGCGGGAAAGCAACCTGGCTCCCCACATCCTTGTCCACACCAGTTGATCTTCTCATCTCCACCACAGCAGATCCCACAAAATTCCAATGCATTTATGTCGGAACTCGCGGTGGGACTTCTCACAGATGGGAAACAATAAATGAGAGAGAAAATGAAAGTCGTTCAATGAGGCACGAAAGATTAGATTGCCTCCATATTGAAAATCTCACCTTTAGCTATGGGAGTGCTTTGTAGCACTTATTAAGTACATTCAATAGAAATATTTTTTGTTCAAAATCTGATTATACATGACAGGAAAAAAAATCAGATTATGAAAAATCTCAAACTTATTTTAAATAGTTTCTAACAGTTTATTATCAAATGTCAACACTTTTTAACAAGATCCTTTGCAAGATTAACAAGAGCATGCAAGAGATAAGGTTTGCATCTCTACTTTACGTAAGGTTGCTTTTCCAGATTATTAAAGGGTTAGTATAATGAAAAATCCTAAACTTGTACACCTATGACAAATTTACCTCAAACTAATTTTTTAACAACGAAAAACCCCAAACTGATATACCTATGACAATTTTACCTCGAACAAATTTTTTGACCATCAAAAATCCCAAACTGGTATATATGTGATCAATTTACCATCTGTTAAATTAAATTAAGGGTTAATACTACGAAAAACCTTCAACCGGTACACCTATGACAAATTTACCCCAAACTAATTTTTTGACCACAAAAAACCCCAAACTAGTACATATGTGACAAATTCACCCCCAAACTAATTTTTTTACCACGAAAAACCCCAGACCGGTACACCAGTGATAAATTTACCCCAAACTAATTTTTTTACCACGAAAAATCCCAAACTGATATACCAGTGACAAATTTACCCAAAACTAATTTTTTGACCACAAAAAATCTTAAACTGGTACATATGTGACAAATTTGCCCCAAACTAATTTTTTTTACCATAAAAAACTCCAAACTGGTAATCCTATGACAAATTTACCCTCCGTTAGCGGACCCATTTAGGGTTTTTCGTGGTATTTACCCTATGAATTTGCACGTGAACTTGCCACGTCACCATGTGTCATCCACATCAACAAATTTAATGGTAAATTTTGACAAAAATTAATGAAGGGTAAATTTGTCATAGATGTATCAGTTTGGGGTTTTTTGCGGTAAAAAAATTAGTTTTGGGTAAAATTGTCACATGTGTAACAGCTTGGGGTTTTTCATGGTTAAAAATATAGTTTGGGGTAAATTTGTCACGGATGTACCAGTTTGCGGTTTTCTGTGGTCAAAAAATTAGTTTGGCGTAAAATTATCACATGTGTATCAGTTTGGGATTTTTCATGGTCAAAAAAATTAGTTTGTGATAAATTTGTCACAAGTGTACTAATTTGGGGTTTTTTGTGATATTAACACTTGAATTAATACCATGAAAAATCATAAACTAGTAAACCTGTAACAAACGGAAAGTAAAACCCAAAACTGGTACGACCGTCAACTGTCACATGTCATCCAACTCAGAAATTTAACTGTAAAATTTAACGGAAACTAACGGAGGGTAAAATTATTACAAGTGTACCGGTTTGGGATTTTTTGTGGTCAAAAAATTAGTTTGGGATAAATTTGTTGTAGGTATAACAGTTTGGGGGTTTTTCATGATTTTAAACCTAGTTATTAAACCAGAAAAATGATTGAACGGGTTGACGAGAGGTATATGAATGTTGGTAAAATACATATCAATATTGGTAAAATGGTTGGCCCTCGCTGGCCATCGCGGAGGCCCAGCGATCGGCAGAGGACGAAAGAAAAAATTTATAAAAAATTCAAAAAAATTCAAAAATAAAAAATTGCAAAAATTTCGACGTCAACACCACCTGTGCCACGTAGGATGGACGATGTCCACGTCAGTAATTTTTTATCAAAATTGGTCGGATGGACTACATTGACAAATTGTCGAAAGGTTTAGAACTAAATTGGTCAAATTAAAAAGTTTAGTACTGAATTAATACAAATGCAATAGGTTTAGAAATTTTTTAGTAATTATCCAAAAAATTTTCATGGCATTTTTAGAAAGTGGGCTGAAAATTGACTCGTGCCTAAATATGTATTCGGTCTCGTGAACAAGTATCTCAAGACATTTGTTAAGTATACTTATTAAAAATATATCTTTATTATCAATGAATTGATTACAAAACAACACGAAAAAGACCATGCATTGTCATAGTTTTCTTTAGGGTTAATACCATGAAAAATCCGCAATTTATACACCTGTGACAAATCTACTTCGGACTAACTTTTTGACCACCAAAAACCTCAAATCGATAAACCTGTGACAAATATACCCCAAGCTAATTTTTTGACCACCAAAAACTCTAAACTGGTACATTTGTGACAAATTTACTTTTCGTTAGTTTCCGTTAAATTGGATACATGGTTACTTAGGGCATACATCCAACAATCTCCTACTTACACTAAAGCCAACTGGAGGGATAAAACCATTTGTCACGGGGCGGTAGTTCCTTGGCCGCAGAATAGCCCATGCGGCGCCTGGTGAGTCAATAAGACCCCAGGCCAGCCTTCCTTCTATAGTTGTTCCCAAGAACAGTATGGCAAATCGCATTCTCGTATCGAATCGTACCACACACGGCTTAACTTTGTCATTCAATCCCTCGAGCAAGACACGCATAACACTTTAGGCACAACAACTCGTTTCGGCCTGCCATGGCCTCATCAGGAGAGCAGCATCAGCTCCCAACCAGTTTGTACACAAGAGGTCAACCCCGCCTTCAGAGCTCCTAAAGGAATATTCGTTCTAACCTAAAACTCCTAGTACAAACCATCCTGACACTACTCCCACGAGCCAATTGTATGACCCCCTCCGTACACTCGCTCTTCACCCCGACGACGCCATGCTCCACTCACAAAGATACGAAAATACGAGAAAATCACGGTTCGTGACACATGTATCATAGAATTCCATACAACGTTACTCTCACAGCATTCTTTATTGACATTAGTACCCTTTCAGCAAATATTCATCTTTTACAACTTGGTAACTAACCTAGATGTTCAGAACGTATCGATTAATGAGCCATCTCTCCACTTCACGTACACAAATACCATCTGTAGCATAGCGTAAGTGCCAATGAGTTATGTAGGGTTACAGAGAAGTGATTCTTGTTGTAGCTAGCAGGTATCACCTAGAGGGGGGTGAATAGGTGATTTGAGTGATTTTTGTGAATATAAAGCAGAAACAATTTATAATCAGTAAAGTCTGAACAATATTCAGATTCTGAATGTGATAGTGTGCAATATAAACAATATAATGAGAGATTAGGGATAGAGAGAACTGCACACAAGAAGTTATAGTGGTTCGGCTTAGATCAAGCCTACATCCACTCTCCCACGCTGACAGCCTACTGGCTGGATTTCACTATGTGATCAAAGGAATTACAAGATCTGAGTGATGTCACTCGATGAATGATAGAACTTTCTATCTCACACAATCACTTTTACAGAATATCCCTCAAAATCTCAGTATTTAGCTCAGGAAAGATAAGTAATGGAATTGGAATGAGCTCAGACTTTGGACTTGTTGATTCTTGATTTCGTTCTATATCTTCTGCTTCTCATTGGTCTCTTTTTATACTCCTCCACTTTCAAACTAGCCGTTGGACAATCTTCAGAGGATCATCTTCCAATCTTCACCTTGGACAGATTTGTATAAAATGGATTGAGTAGTCGTTGGTTGACAAAATCCGAATATCACTGAATCTGATTGCCCATACAATCAGAATCTTGGTTTCCATAAGTAAAGTTTTATCCATTGTGATATATACTTGTCATAATGTTTGATTGTCAATTAATTAGGCTTAGATTGAGTCAATCAAAATTTTCCTTTTGTGAAATTCACGCCAGATCATTAGCTGTTATGTTTCGTTCTGAATAAATTCTGAGTCTGAAGAATTTCTAATTCTTACTTTACATTCAGAACCTGAGTCAGCATAAGTCTTCAGTAAAATCTAAGTCCTTCAAAAATAGAGTATGAAGTTCTCTTACATTTTAAGATAACGTCTAAGTGTCTATTTCAGTAGAGTCTGAACTTTTCGTTCTAAAACTTGTAGAGTCTGAAGATCTCCTTATGAACCTCGTAAAGTCTGAGCATCCAGAAAGTTAATTTTTCTTAAAGTATTAAAGTTGCCACTTCCAGAATATATTTACCTGGATCAAAATACTTCAGAGTACATATCAAATTTACAAGATTAACATGGATAGTTTTGTCAACTACAAAATTTATTAGGAAATTTCCTCAACAATTCTGTTGATCTCTTTTAACTAAGATAGTGGATAGCCAAAACCTCCAACGTGAGATCCATCGAGTTAATAAGTACAACTTTAAGCACACTCTAATCTATGAAGCTATCGAGAAATTGTTTGAAATTCTTTTCTCGCAGGGTTAATATCACAAAAAACCCCAAATTGGTACACTTGTGTCAAATTTACCCCAAATTAATTTTTTTATCACCAAAAACCCCAAATTGGTACATCTGTAATAAATTTATCCTTCGTTAGTTTCCGTGAAATTTTACCGTCAAA